GCGGTTCATTAGGGTTCACGAGGCTTACGAGACGCTCTCTGATCCGCGACGGAGATCTCTCTACGACAGAGATTTGGCTGAGGGGATTCCATTCACTTTCTCCGGCCGTCGGCGTTGCCGATACGATGAGGTGCGGATTTCGCTTGATCCCTCTCTCTATCCCTCTCTGTTTTTTTGTTTGTTGAACTTGGGTGGGTTTTCTCTACACAATGAATTAAAATAGCTATTAATTTGACGGTAAAGGTTGCTTTTTTTTTTTGTACTGTTTTTATTAACTATGAACGCGTTCATCATCATAGTCCTAAACCTTCAAGATTTCAAAGAAATCTGTACCTCTTTTTTTTTCTTCCTGAATTCTTGATGGTGTTCTTGTGTACGATCTTTGTTCATATGATTTATTGTTCTTGCCTCCAAATGGGTCGAAAGAGAAAGTTTCAGTTAAACCAGGTTGGTTGCTGGTTTTGCTTGATTTGTTTTCTTGGGATGGAACTTAATATAGATTTAGGAGAAACTAAAGACTCATGGTATGGCTTGATTCCATGGAATTACTCCTGAATTATTTTTGTGTCAAATGCTCCAATCTCTGTCCATGACTGAAGAAGTTTCAGTGTGATTCATTTCACAAATGATGCTGTGATATGGATTTGTAATGCCCTCATTGAATTTCGTGTTTGGTGTTTGGTGAAACGTGCAGCAAGCGATGGAGGAGAAGGGAGAGTGGAAGAGCAGATGGCAAGTTCAGATCTCTGAGCTTAGAAGAAGAAGCTCTCGCAAAGATTCCACAAGTGACATGTCTTGGGCTTCGAGGATGCGCCGACAACGTCAACACGTGTCCCAGGATTCTTCGTAACACCAAAGTCCTCTTCTTGATTCCCATGGCGGCCGGATTATATATGTGTATATCTACTCCTCGCTTGCTTTATGTATAGTAATTGTTTGTTGGTCACTATATATATATTATATATTATATGAATTCAATGTATTGGGCTAACTGAAACGACAAAGATATATTTATATATTGAAAAAGATGAAATCGATGATTTTTCAAGCGAAGAATTACAGAAAGTCATTCGATGTCCTCCAACTACCGAACTAGATTGTCGACCCACCCCCAAATATGGGCTTTTCGGTCCATGTTAAAAATGTTGGGCCGCCAGTGTAAAACAAAATAAAAAAGCTGGCCCACGTGGCAATTGTACACACTAATATCCATACACCTAGATGTACCTGATGAGCCCTCTCCCGAGAAAAATCTGGGGAAAATGATAGATATTTTCCGACCCTCCTATAAAACACCTTAAACCCTAGTCTTTTGCCCTCTCATCTCTCTGTTGCCTCTCTCTTGTATCCACCTCTAAACCCTAGCTTCTACATTTCTCCTCCCTGAGGTACGTTTTCTTCTCCTTCTTCTTCGATCCTCCTTGCTGTTATCTTTGTGTCTGCTGTCTCATGTTTGTTCATCGGTATCTGTCTTTGTTTGTATGCTTTTCTTTGATTTTCTTGTTTGCTTTTGTTTAAATCGTCGTGTTAAGGCTTAAGAGTTCGTGAACTTTGAACTTGTTTTCATGGTGAACGATATTGAGATTGAGGATGATCTGGTTCTGAATCTTGTTTTGGTTGTTCTTAAACGGTTTCTCTTGGATATGGTTTTGTTGACATGCCCGTGTGTGTGTATTGGATTCACAGGCATCTACGATGGCTTTCTGTAATAAACTCAGCGGTCTTTTGAGAAACACGGTTACCCAGAACGCACAGGCTCCTGTATCATCTCTGCTCTGTTCTGTCCGCTATATGTCTACGAAAATCTTCGTCGGAGGTAGTAATCTCTTGTCTATTTCTGCTCTCTGGTTCTGTCTGGTTCCGCCTATTGGTTTTGAATCCCCCGTTACTGTGTTTGGTTTAGGTCTCTCGTGGGGAACTGACGACCAGTCTTTGAGAGAGGTTTTTTCTAAATACGGTGATGTGGTCGATGGTAATTCAATTATCCCATTTTTCTGGTTCTTCTTCGTATGATCTTTCCACCTAATTCCTTGTACTGGTTTTGTCTGATAAGCTGTTTCTGTCTTATGCATTCTTGTCATCAGACACCTATTGATACGTATTTCGAGTGTCGCATATGGTTGTTCTCCAAGTTGGTTATATATTTATCGACTGGTTTGTGATAAAAATCCGGCATCATGTCTGGATATTTTGCTTGGTTTGGTATTTGATCGAAACATCTCTGCGCTGTGCAGCTAGAGTTATCGTAGACAGAGACTCTGGTAGGTCAAGGGGTTTTGGCTTTGTCAACTTCAGCAGTGAGGAATCTGCTACTTCTGCCATATCGGACATGGATGGCAAGGTCAGTATATACTGAAAAAAAAGCATGTGTTTATGTATTTGGGTTTTGTATAGTGGGCTTAACTCAATCTTATCTCTTCAATGTTGGATTTTTAGGAACTGAACGGTCGTAACATCCGAGTGAACGCTGCCAATGACAGACCCAGTGCCCCTCGATCTTTCGGTGGGGGCGGCTATGGTGGTGGCTATGACGGTGGAAATGGTGGCTTTTAAGCTTAGGCAGGCAGTAACAATCGTTTAGATTGGCAAATCACATGTCTTGCCACTATGACAGAGATCATGTTCTACTTTATCAGATCAGTTGGGTTCCTGAATTCAATCTATATGCTTAACTACAATCCTAATGGGATTGTGTCCGAACTTGGTGCATGTGTTTGCCCCTTTTGGATGTGAACTTTGATGAATCTTTTTATCTTTCCGTATGGTAAGTCTATTAGGATGATAATAGACTCGAGCTTCTTTTTTATATTTGGGATCTTCAGTTTTTTTTTTTTGGTGATGCCATAACCTAAGATGAGGATGATGGTGGATTTGATTGATGCAGGGGAGGCCATAAACGTGGCTTCAGGCCACCATTGTCTTGGCCTAAGGCAAAGCTTGTATGGTAAAGGTGTTTCGTCGTGTCTTGAGCCTTTTTGTCTGTTCCGGTAATAACCAAAGATCACGTCTCTGTGGATCTTTAACTTGAAGATCTGGAGTTCCTCTTTCATATGGCGCTAATCAATTTGTGATTGTGAGAATAAAATTTTGACTACTAGTATTCGAATGGTAAATAAGGTTGCGCATCGATGAGATTAGGGACGGCCATTTTGGTTTTTATTCGAATAGTTGAATCAAACTGGATAAGATATAATGGTGATCGAATTGAATTTAATTTAAAAAACGATTGAATGGTGAACTGAATGAAAAAACATCGAAAAAATTGAATTTCTTTTGAAAAAATCTAGTTTTTTATCAATAAAAAATTGAAATTTTATAATCGAAATAATCAAATCGATTCGAATCGATTCAATACATTTCTTATGTACCCATATCCATAGGTATTATATTGGAATTGGATTTGAATCTGATTTCGGATCAATCTATATTTGGACTATGGCAAATAATGTGTAAAAAAAGTAGTAAGATGTCAAAACAATACTAAAATAGGCTATGAACAAAAATATATATTTGATATAAAAAAACAAAATTTGTTATTTGAGGGATATTACAAAATGGTGGCGGTGATGGTGGATAATATAACATTACATGCACAAGTACTACATATCCCAACTCGCTGCTGAAAGTTGAAGTGATTGTGTTTTTTAGCAGTTTTTTTTTTTTTGTAAAGTTCCCCATCTTAGTATATCAGTTTTCATTTAAAAATATTATGTTTATACTGAATTTATTTTATTTTAGATTTAATTACTTTGTGTCAAAAATTTATCATCTTGATCCAGATATAATTATATAATTTTAGATTCTAGTTTCTTTCAATTTTACGTCGACCCAAGGAAACCAAATTGGTATTTGTTAAAAAAAAGTATACTTTATCATTTAATATACCAAACTCCATGTGAAAATAATGTTGTAAATGGATGGAATGTTCTCTCTTTGTCTTTTCAGATGAAAAAAAAACGTGGTTTTATAGTTTTCGTGGATATTTTTTTTTGTCTTCTTAGTTCCAATGTCTGTATATGCATAGTTTGGTTTAGACTGATACACCAAATAACTAATATGATATGGTACTTTCAATTACACTATTCTTAATCCGCTTGCATATTTTGAATTTCCATTTATTTTTATATTTAAATTGTTTAATTTAAAATTTTATATACATTCGAATTTGATATTGAATTTTTATTCAGTTTAGCTAATAGTAAGAGCAGATTTTTCTGTTTAGAAAACGTTTTATTAATTTTTAATTCATTTTTTTATTACTTTCATGTTCTTTTCAAGTTTGATTTGAAAAGTCATCTCAATTAATTTGTAAATTCAATTAATTCCAAATAAAAAAATATATATATTATTTAATTAAATTTTAGTTGAATTTTGAATGTTCGCTGGAAAATATATGTATGTTTGCTATTAATATATTCTTAACAAAAATAAGAAAGTGAAACGTGGGAGTAGGTAGTTTTGTTCGGTGAGGGGTAATAACCGTAATATGCCCATTCTAAGAACCCTAGCCGCCGGAGACATTGGAATGGAAAAACAAATACCCAAATTTTAGGTATTTATCACAGAATCAGGTTCGCAAATAGAGATCGAGTTTTAGTATATTAAAAAATTACAAAAATATTTATCAATCTTTAATTATTTTTATTTTTTTAGATAAAAAAATATAGTTTTATGATTTAATTATTTTAGATATAAATAATTGGGACAAACCCAAAAAAAAAACCTTGGTAAAAATTCTACTTACACCAAAAAAAAATCTTCTATTTAAAATTAATCATAAAAAACCATCAACTATTAATTTTGAACAAAAAAACCTATTAACTATACAAATTATTTAAAACAATATTTTACTTTAAATTTGATATAAAAAAAATCATCTATTATTAATTGTAATAAAAAATAATCAATTATTAAAATATAAAAAATATATATTAATATTTGAGAGATTCAAATCGAGTTTTTAATCAAAATATACATCTAAATACCATTTAATTTACTTTTGAATGGAATATATCACGTTTTTTCTTCGGATATTTTTGGATCTAATTTTTCTTGGTGGCGTTTCACCAACCACCGATTTAGATTATTTGAATATATTATTGGTAGGCCATACGACTAACCATATAGGAAAAAAAAACATTTTTAAATCATGAAAGTGATACTTTTGTCTGAAGTAAAAAAGACAGTGGTTATAGTGTCGACATTGTTATAGGCTGCCTTAACTTAATTTCTTTGATTCAAATAAAATAAAAAAAGAAACATGGAAGATAATATAAGTTGGATCTAAAGAAATAATACATTAACTATATCTCAAAATTAAAGAAAAATATTCTGTTTTTTAATTTTAAAAAAAAATCAAAAGTGAAATATCAAGAAAAACTTTGTGGGCCTACATTGTTCAGCCTTTCCAAAGCCCATCGCCGTTAGGGCTCGCGTAATGTAGCTGTGACTGCGAGTACGCAGATTCAGAGTTTCATAAGAACCATTAACATTTCGCCACGTGTCTGCACATCATCTCTAATCACCGTCGGATCATCCCTTGAAGGGAAACCCAGGGGAGGCGTACCGTGCTCCATATCCTACGATATCGCTGCCTTTTACCTAGATCCACCAAAGCCTTTAAATCTCCACCGTCCGTCTCTCACCTCTTTCATCTATTTATGCTCTCACTTCTCCTCCATTTCACTCCGCACACTTCCTCTCTCTCGCTCGATTTCGGATCTCATCGGAAAAGAAATCTCACAGAGAGTTCAGATCGTAAAAAATGGCGTTGCTCGTGGAGAAGACGTCGAGTGGCCGTGAGTACAAGGTCAAGGATATGTCTCAGGCCGACTTCGGTCGTCTCGAGATCGAGCTCGCGGAGGTGGAGATGCCTGGTCTCATGGCGTGCCGTACCGAGTTCGGGCCGTCGCAGCCGTTCAAAGGCGCGAAGATCACTGGATCTCTTCACATGACGATCCAAACCGCAGTTCTCATCGAAACCCTAACCGCTCTCGGAGCCGAGGTCAGATGGTGCTCCTGCAACATCTTCTCCACTCAGGACCACGCCGCGGCCGCCATCGCTCGCGATTCCGCCGCCGTATTCGCCTGGAAAGGTGAGACCCTCCAGGAGTACTGGTGGTGCACGGAGCGTGCGCTCGATTGGGGTCCTGGTGGTGGTCCTGACCTCATCGTCGACGATGGTGGTGACGCCACTCTCTTGATCCACGAGGGTGTTAAGGCCGAGGAGCTCTATGAGAAGACTGGTCAGGTCCCGGATCCGTCGTGCACCGACAACCCTGAGTTCCAGATCGTCTTGCAGATCATCAAGGACGGCCTCCAGGTCGACCCGAAGAAGTACCGCAAGATGAGGGAGAGATTGGTCGGTGTCTCCGAGGAGACAACCACTGGTGTCAAGAGGCTCTACCAGATGCAAGCCAATGGAACTCTCTTGTTCCCTGCCATTAACGTCAATGACTCCGTCACCAAGAGCAAGGTATCCATCTCTGCATTTCTCTACCTCTTTGCGTCAGCTAGATCCGTACCCGATCTATGCTTATACTAAAAAGGTCAAATCCGATGCATATGTTAGAGATTTGGGTCCAGATCTAGTTATGTCTCATTGGAGCTCTAGATCTGGCGATATTAACCAAACCCGTTGAAGAAACATAGCTTTTTACTTGACGTGATTGGGTAAAGCGTCAGCTTCACACATCTTTATTGACGTGATTGGAACTTGACTAATCTTTTAGGGACACACGAGGACTTGGGTAGTGAGTCATGTATTTTCTTGCGTATTCACTATTCTGTACAAGTCAACTTAGCGTTTTATAGGTTTCGATTACTCAAAATCATGGATCCATTTCTTATGAGCCACTAGGTCTCTTATCAGTAATATTAAAAATGGCATTTGGATCCGTTCTTCTGCTGTTTATTGTTGCTCTATCGTCACTGCTAATCTCATATATGTTTCGCCGCTACAGTTTGACAACTTGTACGGATGCCGACACTCTCTCCCTGATGGTCTCATGAGGGCCACCGACGTCATGATCGCCGGAAAGGTCGGTGTGGTCTGTGGGTACGGAGATGTCGGAAAGGGCTGTGCTCTCGCCTTGAAAGCAGCCGGTGCCCGAGTCATCGTGACCGAGATCGACCCCATCTGTGCTCTCCAGGCTCTCATGGAAGGTTTCCAGATTCTAACCCTCGAGGACATCGTATCAGAGGCCGATATCTTCGTCACCACGACAGGAAACAAGGACATCATCATGGTCGACCACATGAGGAAGATGAAGAACAACGCCATTGTCTGCAACATCGGCCACTTTGACAACGAGATCGACATGCACGGTCTCGAGACCTTCCCGGGTGTGAAACGCATAACCATCAAGCCCCAAACCGACAGGTGGGTCTTCCCCGACACGAAGACCGGAATCATCGTTCTGGCCGAGGGTCGTCTCATGAACTTGGGTTGCGCCACTGGTCACCCGAGTTTCGTGATGTCGTGTTCATTCACGAACCAGGTGATTGCACAGCTCGAGCTGTGGAAGGAGAAGGGAACGGGCAAGTACGAGAAGAAGGTGTATGTTCTCCCGAAGCATTTAGACGAGAAGGTCGCGGCCCTTCACTTGGGCAAGCTCGGGGCGAAGCTGACAAAGCTCTCCACGGACCAAGCTGACTACATCAGTGTTCCCATTGAAGGTCCGTACAAGCCTCCTCACTACAGGTACTGAGTAAGAAAGAGGATTGTTTTGTGGTGTCAGTGGAACCCAATGTTTTCTTTTTAGGGTTAAAGTTTGTCTGGTTTTGTTTTCGTCGGAGAGGGGAAGCTGTATTGGTCTTACTGATGAAGTAGACCTAAGTACTTGGGGTTCTGCAATAAGGTTGTTTTTTTTATTGAAGCCGTCTCTCTCTCTCTCTCTCTCTCTCTCTCTCTCTCTCTCTCTCTCTCTCTCTCTCTCTGGTGTCATCGATTTTAGGGATTCACTATGAACCAATTTTTGTTAAAACATCTGAAAACAGAGATCGATCCTCTTCTTATAAAAACCCTAAAGGTAAACCCTACATTTGATCTGGAATCTAAAAAGTTTGGTCATGGTTTTGGATAGATGATGACAATTGAAAGGTCTCTGGAGAACGTTCATTTCAGATTTTGTTTAGTTATGTCCGGTTTTGTTTTAGTTCGGGTTCTATTTTAATTGATAATATTTCTTTTTTTTTAAAAAAAATGGTTAGTTTGTGTTGAGTTTTTAAATTTTTAAAAATTTACCATCATTTGGTTTTTACATCAAATTCGATTTGATTATAATTATATATTATTTCGTTTATTAACGAAATTGAAACTGCACTTATATCTTAAAATTTGAAAAGGAAGAACCCGGTTTCTAAATAAGAGAATACAAATGATTCTTTGTGGGTGTGCACATTCCTCTCGTTTGACTTCTTCATTTTATATTTATAACATATATATATATATATATATATATATTTTAATTTCTTTATTTAATAAAATAATAATCAAAACAGTCTAATAATTTGATATGGTATAACAATTAAAAAGCAGTTCTATTACAAACACAAGATCACTCCAAACCAAAAATCATGGCAACAAGTTATTTGAGTTCAGAGAGACATTGCCTTGTGTTGTCTGAATCACCACATCAATCTCACAAATCTGGTGATGTCTTCAACACTTATTCGCCTTTATTCAACTACACGAGAGGCAGTACAACCATTTACCCACCCATATATATGGATTGATACTTCCTTCAAGGAGCAATTTCAGATCCAGATATCCGAGGTGCAGTCGCCGCCGGGATATCGCATCTCGTGGGCGAGAGCAGGGCCCTCGGGTTCTGCCCCGAAATCCACGAAGAAGTTTGGGTTTATGGTCAGGCCGCCTTTCTCCGTATCAACATCTATCTGCAAGATGTGTGAACCTTTCTCCATGAGTTCCGGGTGAAACTGACGGTCCCACGCGCTGAAGAGCGAGTTTGTAGCGTAGAGACGCTTCCCGTCTAGGCTTAGTTGTATCATCTGCGGGCCTCCTCGAAGGCGTTGCCCCTGAAAAAACGCCGAAAATTACTCGCTACGATACGAGAAAAATTGCTTCTATATAGTCTGCAAAACATGTGTATTGGATACCAGAGGTGGGGGTACCCGTGCCTCGTGGTACCTCACCGACCCACTCGTCTCAACGGTTGGCTACCTGTGGTACTCCGCACTATCCTCAAAACTCGGGTATCCGACTGAAACCGGATACTCTGACCGAAAACCCCCGAGGAGGCGAGAGCGGAGTTGGGTAAACCAATAAAACTCGAGTAACAGACCCACACCAACCCCGTTATGTGATGGGGTAAACTACTAAACTTTCTGTTCAGACATGTTTTGAGACCTAGGACATGTTTTTCTTGGTACGAACCTTGATCTCAGGAACATCAAACTGGAAAGTTTTCCCGTCTTCTCCCACTGCGAAAACAGTTCCACCCTTCTGGAGCAGTCCCCCGACAAACACTTGCCCCGTTAAGACAGGTTTCTCGGGGTCCTCGATGTTGTACTGGCGAATGTCTCCATGAAGCCAATTGACAAAGTAGAGGAAACGGTCATCGAGGGAGATCAGGAAGTCGGTAATGAGTCCCGGCATCTCCGGAAGAATCCAGTTTTGCACTTTCAGCGGTTCAACTGATATCACCACCTTCATGGATCGAAAACAAACGATATCAGATCGAATGAATGAGAGAAAATGAGTAAAATTCTCAATTGCACCTCGTGGCTCCATGTTTCATCCTTGTTCTTGAAAAACCTTATCATATTGCTCGACAACGCACTCCCGACGAAACCCGTATCCTTCGTTGGATCATGCAAGAATCGAATCTGCATCACATAGTGTTGTTAATTCCTTCGTATTTACGACCCGAAGGCTGAAACACGGATCTTTTGCGGTTGAGAAATCCATGTCACCTCTAAAGGTAAGAGCCCGGTGTTTCCAAGATCGAGTATTTGTTTGAGTTCGCCTTCCGGCCAACTATATACATGCAGATGCCTTCCGTATAACCCGTCGGAAACATGCTGAAGATCGAAACCCTTAGAAAATGCTGCAGGTGCTCCCCATGACGTGCTTATCATCGTCTTGTGCCGAGGTTGGTACCAGAAATCATATCCGTACAAAGGACTGTTTCCCGGTTTCTCCCACCTGAATACTCGAAAACAAAACCATTTCTACCTCTCCCCTTTTCTTGAATCACAGATTTGAGTAACAATGTTCCATTTTCCGGTACCTGCTCTTGACGTTGAAGTCAGAGTCGAGGAGAAGAAACCCGTTTCCCTTGTGGTTTCCATCTTTATCCCCGAGGCAAGACACCAGAATCTCGCCAGACGCAAGGCAATGCGCGGTGTGTGGAAAGGCTAATCCCGTCTTTTCCACGATCTCGTCGGGGTCTACAACTTTGTGCAGAGATGGAGCCCTCGGGTTTTTCTTCGTGTCAATTGCATAGATCCGACCAGAACTTCATCAAACAAATAAGAACACAAGTGTTTCATTACCATCACCAATGGAAAGAAGATTTTGGAAAGCAAATGTTGACATTGAAGATTAAGAAGCTAAGAACACAAGATCCATATCTCTTACATAAGAGAAGGCAAGACCAAGTAACGCCGATCAGCAGAAGGATCGCCATGGCAGGAGCTGCAAGAGTTCCAACCCGAGTGATGAAGTTCATCGCCGATATATGGCATTGGCAATCGGTGAATGACAGTAGAGAACGTCGGGGAGCTCGGGTCCACATCCACGGTCGCCAAATAGTCCGGCTTCTCACGCCCAGTTCCTGAAACCACCGATTCAACATGTAGTAAACACGACAGATACGCAAGAATGTGAAACCAAATTCAACATATAGTAAACACAGATAGATACACATATACATGACAAGAATGTGATCAACTATTGAACACGGTATTCTTGATCACTTGAGCACACATCATATACACAGAGTTCACCCGTTCATCACCGACATTAACACTCAAAACAAAAGATTTAGTTCTAAACTTTTGGGGTTTTTTCGATTGATCAAATCATAAACAATGATTGGTCTGAAAGTTCTTACAATCATGCCCAGGAAGATTCTCAGAGGGACCCATATCACTAATCTCATTCACAGATCTGATAAGTATACACAGCTCAATCCTAACACTATTCCTTCAGTGTTCGATCATTGGGAATCTGAGATTCCGTAGGATCTACGAAGAATTTCAAACAAATATTCCGCCATGAACTGTGAAATTATACCGGATCTTCAATAGTTAGCAAAATTAGAAGCTAATTAATGGCTTAATCACATCGCTTTCTCAGTAATCCAGTCAATTCTTTCGAGACTTTTCAACAATCAAGGTTCCGACAACAAAAATCGTCGACATGACAGCAAAAAAAAATACGATATTTCGAGAAGAATGTGTACCGGTGTAGACGGCGGTGACGTAGATGAGCTTTTCACGGGGACCAGACATGGCGGCAAGTGGCGTCGCGTATCCTGGTCCGCTCCGGCAGCATCCGACGGCGGAACCACATCCGTTGCTCACCGCCGTCGAGTTCTCCGCCGCCGCAGCCACTTCCGTCGCCATATCTCAAAGCAAACCTTGATCGTGTTGTAGCTGACACTCCTTGCCGTATGTATATATAGATGGAGACGTGGTGATTATATGATTAAACTAGACATGGAAATTATAGACAAAAAAAAAATATTAAAAAAATGGGAGATTTTTCAACATTTGAGCTCGCAGACAATTTACGGGTCTACGTGATCAACGTATGATACGGCTATAATATATATATATATATATAGGATAATTTAATTCAATTATTTTTTTATATCTCTAATGAATACGGATAACGAAATGGCAATCAATACCATTATGAAATCGAAATAAAATGTTTCGTTTCATTGCCTATATGTACATATATACACACACACACTAAATTTTGGGGGATGTAAAACAAAAGCTTTTAAAATTAAATAAAAAACAAAGAGGAAAATGATTTAGAGATCAAAAGTTACAAGATCATGCGCTCACACGTAGACTTTCTTCAAAGTTCTTATCACCACAACTTTTCAAACCCTAAGAAATTTCAAGGATTTATAACGAAGTTGAGGCAAAGATAATGTTACAAAAATAAAAATGTATTTGGACCAAAAGACAACTCTATTCAAATTGTAAAAAAAACGTCCGCATACAATGTACGATTTAAAGGTAACATTATAATTTTGTACTTGTTTTATTTGATTTCTGTTACATATATATAGTATTGTATCTTGGTAGAGGTGAACAAAACGGTTCGATTCGATTATTTTTATTTTGAAAATTTATAACCAAACTATTATTTAGTTATGATCGAATTAGTTTGGCTCAGTTACGTCTAATTAAAATTGTAATTAAATAATAACCAAATTAAAATTCAGATTTGGTTATAATAGTAACTAAAACATATTTCAGAACATTGTTAAATAAAAATATTAAAAGTCTCACTTTAATTATATAGTCGTAAAACTAAATAAATAATCAAATTATATTAATTTTTCTATTTATATATAGTATATATGGTGAATTAATAGATGATAAACGGATTAACGAAAGTTTTAGATTTAATTTATTTGTTTAGGTTAATTGAAATTCGATTTATTCGTCTATAACTAATTCGAATTCGGTTATTTTGGATTTTGCAATTTCATAACCCAATGACTATTTAATTTAACCCGTTTCATTCAATTTCGATACAAATCCAGTTGGTTAGACTCGGTTTTAAATAATTGAGCCGTTTGACCACCTTAGTATTTGGGGATCTCAATATGTTCTTTTTTTTAATATTATGATTTTTTTCCTGTTTTGACTTTTATTCTTGCATATTATTTTCAGTAACAAATAAAAAATATATGTTAATAAATAGGATATGAATATATTTGATTAGATTATGAAATATTGATTATGATTCATGAAACGTATCATATAAAAGAAACGAGATACAAAAAAAATGATATTGAGGAGGAGATTATGTTGTCTTTAATTATGTTGTTTAATTACAAAGCAAATAAAATCCCGTGCAAACTTCTCTATCAATTATTTATTTATTTATTTGTGTTGACTTCGTGATTAGATTCCTTTGGTTCACCATCTATAATCGAATCAAGATTAATTATTTTTTAATATCCATTTAAAAACGAGTCGGATTCAATATTTTCATATCCGTAATAATCTAGATTGGACCGACCGAACCCTAGCTTATGACCCTAGTAATTAGTGGTGGTCGCAACGAACGTAAGTGATTAGTGATGATACTAATTAATCACCGAACTAATTAAGTTACTAATTAATCTTTTGATTGGTATTCCTAACGAGGTTAGGTTTGGGGAACTGGTCAATTAGTTTAAGCACATACATGAAAAAAAAGAGTTTCAAATATAAAATTAAAAAAAATTCGGTTTTCATATTTAACAAATTAAATTTATAATTTGCGATTTATTATTACAGTTTCTTTTCGTGTCAAAATCACAATAGCTTTTTTTTTTTGGGACTGTAGCTCCTGAAACGGTATCTCGCTAGGAAAATCCTACTGTTACCTTCTTTGAATCGACTCATCGAAAAAGCCGACGCGACATCACGAAAGAGATTAGCTTTCGCCATCAGAAGAGACAAAATTGCAAGCCCATTTGTGTTGCCTTGTCTGGTCGGTTATTAGGGTTTTGTGTTAGGGCTTTTCTCTTATCCTCTGTTTCTCGACCTCAAAACCCTCAAACGGATAGAGAGAGAGAAAGGGAGGGAGGGAGAGAGAAATCCACGATATGGGTTCCGCGACGAACGGGAAAAGAGACATGGAGGAGGAGCCGATTTTGACGGAACAGAACCAGAGATTCTGTATGTTTCCCGTCAGATACAAGCAGCTTTGGGAGATGTACAAGAAGGCTGAAGCCAGTTTCTGGACTGGTTTGTTCATTTTGCTCTTCTGAATTCCTGGGTTTGTCTGTTTCAATTTACTTTGTTTCTGGGTGAAATTGCCTCGTCCTCTTCTTTGTTTTTCTTATCCAAAGTTCGGTTTTTTTTTAATAAAGTCAGCGAATTGTGAATGCTGTAAGGGAACTCCTATTAACAGAGACGCAGAGCTTCATCTTGCATGTGTTTTGATTTGTCTGGATTACAATGCTGTCCTGAATCTTAGGAAGTGTTTCATTAGCTGGTAGATACAAAGCTCTGTTTTTTATTTAGTGATTCAATAAGGTAAAAGAGGATATCTGGCACTATTTGGTCTTTGCTTAATTTCGTATGAGTGTGATAGAACTCGCACTGTTGTTTACATTTTGTGTGGAGAATCAGAGAGCAGAAGAATGGTTAAACATAAAAAAGGAAATAGAACTCTTATAAGTTGGTTTGTGAGGTTGAGATTTTCAGCATAGGAAAAAACATTGATATAGGTGTAGCCACATTGCTGCCTGGCTGTTGTTTTGGAAGAAACTATTTCTTTCATATGCCATTCTTAAAACTTAGTCCAAACACAGATAATTCTCATGGAAACTTAACCGGGTTTCAAATTCTATCATTCGGTGTGCCACTTACTCAGCCTCTCTACTTGCCATAATCATATTCTGGGTTACAGATGCGGCAACTGAAACTATGATATCGGCATGAGATGATGCTCGTTATAGTATACCCTCATCGGCGTTTCCTTTGTTATTGTTATTCATAATGCCTGTAAAGGAAAAAGATTGCATAAAAATTCATAAAAAGGCCTGTCTTTGCCAGTCCACTTCATGGTCCGTTTCCTCTAATACAACCACTGTTTCTCATCGAATTGATTGCTTTCTCTGGTTTGTTTGTGTTGACGACTTGCAGCTGAGGAGGTGGATCTCTCTCAGGATACTCAACATTGGGAAACCTTATCAGATTCAGAGAAACACTTCGTTAGCCATGTATTAGCCTTTTTTGCTGCATCAGATGGGATAGTTTTGGAGAATTTGGCTGCTAGATTTTTGAATGATGTTCAAGTCCCCGAGGTGACGATATTTTCTTTTCAATTTCGACATTTCACTTCAAAGTTTATTTCTTTCCATTAACCAGCCTTTCACATCATTGCCCGAGACTGTGACAAAACCAAATATGCCGAGAGCATGAATATCTTGATGTTGACACCTTTGCCGTTTTGAAATGATGGGTCCTCTGAATTTTCAGGCTCGTGCATTCTATGGGTTTCAAATCGCCATGGAGAACATACATTCTGGTATGATTTTGTAAGTAGAGCTGATCATATAGAACCCGCGACTCCAAACCTCTAGGGCGACTTGTGCCTGGATCAGCTCGGGATTATCATTATTCAGAAATGAAAATAGATGCCTGGACCATCTTGGGGTTTTCCAAAACGAGCCTGAATGATACCTGAATGATATGAACATACATAATAAGCATTTAGGAACTGAGCCATAGGAATTATAGGCCCCATGAGGAGCTTTATAGGACTTTGTTACTTAGCATTTATGAATCGAAATGAAATTGTTTGTTTCCACAACTCATGGTCTACAGTGAATCTGATGCAAATTATTGTCTGGTGAAAAATATATCAGAGATGTACAGCTTACTTCTGGAGACATATATCAAGGATACAAAGGAGAAGCATAGATTGTTCAATGCCATTGAGACCGTTCCTTGCGTGTCCAAGAAGGCAAAATGGACTTTAGATTGGATACAAAGGTACAGAGTCGCTTTTTAGTTCATACTTCCATGAGTTAAAAGTACCTGTTTGATTGATGAAATGCTCATCTGCATCTACAGGTTATGATTATTATTATTAGTTTTACAAACTTTTACACTAGAATTGTTGTTCTTGTCACTGTCCAATTCTTCTGAGGGGAATAATTAGGAAGGTTGATATATTAACTTCTGTAACAAACTGCAAATAGATATTTTTCATGTAGCATTCTGGCATTTTTCAGAGCTGAATTTGAGATTTTGTTATGTTCCGGTTGAAAAGAAAACCCGAGATCTTTCTCTGAAATCGGGTTACTTTGTCTGGTCGGTTATTAGGGTTTTGTGTTAGGGCTTTTCTCTTATCCTCTGTTTCTCGACCTCAAAACCCTCAAACGGATAGAGAGAGAGAAAGGGAGGGAGGGAGAGAGAAATCCACGATATGGGTTCCGCGACGAACGGGAAAAGAGACATGGAGGAGGAGCCGATTTTGACGGAACAGAACCAGAGATTCTGTATGTTTCCCGTCAGATACAAGCAGCTTTGGGAGATGTACAAGAAGGCTGAAGCCAGTTTCTGGACTGGTTTGTTCATTTTGCTCTTCTGAATTCCTGGGTTTGTCTGTTTCAATTTACTTTGTTTCTGGGTGAAATTGCCTCGTCCTCTTCTTTGTTTTTCTTATCCAAAGTTCGGTTTTTTTTTAATAAAGTCAGCGAATTGTGAATGCTGTAAGGGAACTCGTGTCGAAGGAATCTTCTTCTCTGGAAGGTATCTTTTCTCCCAGTCTTTGCGTCAAAATTATCGGAATCTGGGAAATCGTGTATATACTTTTCTTTTCGAAAGGGGTGGTTTTTCAAAGATCGTGATTCGTTTTCTTTTCCACGTTTTGGGAAAAGCTTTTGTGCCATTTTCTGGCTTAAAAAGAGGGGTCTCATGCCGGGATTGACGTTCTCAAATGAGCTTATATCGAGAGATGAGGGCCTCCACTGTGACTTTGCTTGTCTTCTATACAGGTAGTGGCCCCTTTTTAACTTCTTAATCATCCTCATGGTCCAACCGGAAAAGGCTTTGTTGATTCACTCGCTCGTTATATACTTTTACAGTTTGCTTCGGGAGCAACTTCCTCAGGAAAAAGTTCACGACATTGTTCACGAAGCCGTGGAAATCGAGACAGAGTTTGTCTGCGAGGCTCTTCCATGTGATCTGATCGGGATGAATTCAAACCTCATGAGCCAATACATAAAATTTGTCGCGGACCGTCTTCTGGTATATACGTTGCATACATTTAGAAACTTTCATATCCAAATTAAGCTTTCGTCCAAAATGAAAAACGCCATTGGATTCATATCTCTTTTTCCTTTATCTGTAGGTGGCATTGGGCTGCGAAAGGAGGTACAATGTTGAAAACCCGTTTGATTGGATGGAGTTCATATCGCTGCAGTAAGTATCAGTAACATTTACATTCCTTCTTCATGAAAATTCATCCTATAAATTTGGGTTGCCATCAAAATTTGCCCTTTTTTTCTGCCAAAGAAAGAACATCACTCCTCCCTCAGTATTTCTCATGATCTGTTCCAAAGTTCATTACTTTCCCCATCTTCCAAAAACATTCAGACATGTCTGCAATCCTGGACCCCTGATCAACGGGGATGCTTTGTGCACCGGGCTGCCCTTTTTATTCTCTGGGTTTTGATCTGTTGCTACGATTTTTTTTCTTTCTTTTTTGGCAGAGGAAAAACGAACTTTTTCGAGAAGAGGGTGGGTGAATACCAGAAGGCATCTGTAATGTCGAGCCTCCAAAACGGCAGTAAAAACTACGAGTTCAAGATCGACGAAGACTTCTGAAACTGTTGTTGAAAACCAATCAAAAGGGATCGTCAGATTCTTTGTTGAGGGAACTCTCTCTATATTCTTTATCCAGAAACAGAGAGAATAGAATCTATTCAGAAATGTAAGAGGTAGATGCAATATTCGGTCCAAAGTTTAGGCATAGCGGCGGCCATTATTATGTTCTTCATCTTGGCATGGCTTATGCCTTGTTGAAGTATATGTATTATTACATCTTTTTATCATGTCATAATGCATGAGTAAGTACACATGCAGCACTCTGTTCTGATGATATATTTAAGAGACATTTTGCAGGAACACCACCTGATGCACGTGGTCGGGTGGTGGATCTGTGAATGGTAGCAGGTGTAGGTTTGATTCCCCCCTTGTATTATAATACAAACATGATCAGATTCGGTCCTTGTCTTATTCTATATTGGGTCTCATGATTGTTACAACTTGGTGGCTTATCACGTTTCCAGAGGAAAATGATAATGTGCAGGGAGAAAAATAATGTATTTGCTGACACCATCGAATGCCCTTTAAGCCATTATATAAACTGAGAGACTGAGAAGATCTCTATCACCAAGAAGGAGAAGAAAGCTTCCTGATATATAGTCTGAGACAACAATGGCGAAGTTGGGCCCACAGTGCTGCCAAAACGCGCCAACCCGGATCCCGAATGCAGGGTCGGGTCACGTTGAGAAGCTCGGTGGCCTTGACGCGTACGTCACTGGCTCTCCCGAATCCAAGTTTGCCATCCTTCTCGCCTCTGATGCTTTTGGTACGTATTTTTTCTGCATCTTCTTGAATCTTTTTGCTTTTCAGCTTTTTTTTTCTTTCTACTGCAGATGATAGTTTTGTTCTTTTTTGTTTTCAGTTCTAATATCTTAGTTCACTCTCTCTTTCCGAGGTCTTTGCTTGTTTTCTCTTGAAAAACGTTTTGACACCAAGGTAGAAAGCTTGATAGTGTTGTTTGCTTGGAGTCCAAGTAACTAAGAAAGATCATGCTGCTGCTGCTGCTGCTGCTGCTGCTGAAATCTCTATCTTATTTTTCCGTATGCTTTCCTTCTGAAATCTCTGTTCTCATCTGTTCTACAGGATTTGAAGCTCCGAACTTGAGGTACGTATTGCTTTCTGTCTGATTGGTTCCAAATCTCAAGCACTCCTTCTCTTCTTCTGTTTCGTAAGAGGCCATAATGTTTTTTGCTCATCCTGTCTGTTTGGAACCTAATCAAATGATTCTGCTGTTTATGTGACTGTAAATTTCTAAATGTTCTGCTCATCTATGCAAAAGGAAACTGGCTGACAAGGTTGCAGCCTCTGGGTTCTACGTAGTCATTCCTGATTTCTTCCGTGGAGATTCCTATTCCCCCGAGAATCAGGATCGACCTCTTCCTGTCTGGATCAAAGATCATGGACCAGTTAGTGCCTTTCCTATCAGAATTCTCTGATTTGTTTGCTGTTTTCTTCTGGCACAAGTTCTGTATCCTCATTCTACCGCATGATCCATTTTCATAATCTCTGCAATGCCCCCCCCCTCTCTCTCTCTCTTCGTGTCCCGTTGTTTAATGGATTATGTCTCTTCAACAGGAAAAGGGCTTTGAGTACTCAAAGCCGGTTATTGAGGCCTTGAAGAGCAGAGGCATAGATGCCATTGGAGCAACAGGGATCTGTTTTGGTGGTGAGTCGTTTTGTTCTTCTCTGTCTGAATTCTTTCTTATCGCCTGCGTTCCAAACACTTTGAAGGGGCGTGTGTTCTGAAAACTTCAGTTAGTTCTTTACCCTCTCTTTTTATGTTCTGTCATAAAAATCCAGCAAAAGTTGTGGTGGAGCTTGCTAAACGCGAGCTTATCCAATCAGCTGTCTTGCTTCATCCTTCTCTCGTCTCCCTTGATGACATCAAGGGTAAGTCAGATCCATCTCCCCAAGAATATGTTCGTAAAATCTGCCATGAAATTCAGATTTTTTGTAATGAAAACTCTCTAAAAACTTCACACATTTTGTATATATATGTATTATGTGTGTATATATATATGCCAGAGGTCAAGGCTCCGATTGCTGTGTTTGGAGCTGAGATTGATAGTACCACCCCACCAGAACTGGTGCAGCAATTTGCTGAAGCTCTTGCTTCAAAACCCGAGGTATCGAAATATAAATATCCGGTTTAGTGAATATATATATACATAGTTAAACTTGTGTTAGTGATATAAACCCGGATTTAAATCTGATTCTCAACGTTAGATTCAGTTTCTGCAAAAGTAAGTTGCATGATATAAACCATGAAAGCCGTGCATGCATGGTCCGTAGGTGAAGAGCTACGTGAAGATATATAACAACGTGGAGCATGGTTGGAGCGTGAGGTACAACGTGGACGATGCAGAAGCTGTTAAGGCTGCGGAGGAAGCTCACAAGGACATGTTGGAGTGGTCTTTGATCCATGTCAAGTGAACAAACACAGACCAAAGAGTTTGGACCCATTTATGAAATCAAACGATATATCCAATAACAAAAAAAATGAAATACCGCCGAATCTATCAGATGCGTATGTTCTACGCAGCTTTGTGTTCTGTATGTTCTGTAATGTTTGCAATGCTTATGATGTTTCTCTGTGTGTGTATGGATGTATGATATGATGCATAATAAAACCATGGGTCGTGTGTGCTTCGGTTTATTTACCCTAATCTTTTTTGTAGTCAGAAAATACCATAATTAATCCAAGATTAGGTGACTGGACCCAACAGTTGGTGGTCCAGTGGGTGAGAGGTGGCAAAGTTATCACTGATGGGAAGGGATGTAATTTCTGGATCAAAATAGTCTATATACAAAGATCAGTCATGGACCCAGGGTGGATGTAGTCGGGGCGAAGGACCGAGGAATCATTCTAGTTATCAAAAAAAAAAAAGATTAGATGACTAAGACGAAGTAAAACTCCTTTTCAACCCAAATTCAAATCTCTATTTGGGAGAATCATTCACCTGGATTTTTTCACTCTTTTGAAAAACTTAGTTAGGCCAAAGATAAACTTTCGAATTATAAAAAGAATATGATAATTAATTAATTCACCATTGTAGTATAGTGAATTAGTGATTAGGGGATGGCTATTTGGGCCCAATTCCTATATTGACTTGTGCTTCCCCATTTTAGTTCCCTGAAAATCTTTTTCAGCCCAACGGATTTGATTTTTTTTTAATTCAATATTTTTTAGGAAATATTTATGTTGAGAATTTTGAATTAGATCATATATTACACAAGATACACAGAAATGCTTTGTTCTTCGTTGCACTGATAAACAGTGTATAAACTATAAATAAATGAATGACCATATAAAATCATGAAATTGGATATATTAATATATTAGATAAATTTTTAACTTGGAAACACTTTTTTTTTTTTCATTTTTATCTGAAAAACTGAATAAATTATTAGATTATTAGAAACTTGTTATTTTAGTGTCCTTTAGCTAAATAATGATTATCATAATATCAAGATCAAATCATATAATAACTGGGAAGTATTTATTTTGGAGACTTGATTTTCCTTTTAGTAATTTTATGTATATGATGCTTAGAAATGTGTAAAAAGCAAAAAAAAAAATGACTTCCAAAATACCAAATATTTGTATCGAACATTTTTTAATATCTAATATTTTTACGTGCTTTTGGGTTATAAATGAACAAGATGGAGGTCTGTATAATCTTTAAAATACTGATTATCGTAGCAATTAATAAAAACGTTAAAATAAGACGTATTTAAAAAAAAAATACACGAAGACGATGGTTACTCGCAATAATCATACGCCTAAAAAAATGAATAAGAGTTAATGAGAAGGTGCAAAGTGAAATTAGTTTTAATAATAAATAAAAAAGAGACTATAGGAAACCAAAAAAAAATGTTAATTTAAATAATGATTAATTGATATGCTTACCCTATTACCATCTTTTTAATGATAGTGACACTCTTCAATCACTCTACACATTTTATCCTAACCCTATAGAGCTGTCCCAACTAATTTTTAGATTTTGGATATTTTTATATTTATCTCAATTTTGATCCAACCTATTAAATTATTATTTTGATCGCATTAGCAAGAGAAAAAAATAGATATATGCATATTATTACTTTCTTCTCTATATATAAAAAGAAACATACAAATTTAGTTTAAATGACTACAAAAAGAGTTGGTTGCATACTAACAATTTGTAAAATATGAATATCATCATGTTATCAACTTTTAATATACGTAAGCGTTTTATGCAAAATATAATTGAATAAATATTAATGTCAGACAGTTGTAAATAGATACTATAGATAGAAATATATATTTTAATTCTATTTTGTTGGTCAAAGATATTTATAAAAATCATAAGTTAAATTCTAAACCCTTGCTTTATTAAAGGGCCATTTTCTGAGTGACTTTGAAGAGCCGTCAACTTCATCATCATCGTCATCATCCTCATCATCATCATCATCATCATCATCATCATCATCATCTAAAATATTTCCAAGTCCTAAGGAAATGTTACAATCTTTATCTTTTTTTTTCCTTTTTTGGTTTTCCTTAATTCCAAAATAATACATTAAAAAAAACTTTCAAGTGTACATATCCTCAAAGTATATTTCTGTAGTAAAAAAAATAGCAACTCATATAAAATATAGCATAGTAGAGACTAAATAATGAAGGATCCGATTATTTTTTATGCGAGAAATAACACATTATAAGTCGACAAAAATAGAAAATGATAAAAATCAATTTTTTTGGTTATAATTCCAAATCAAATCTTTAAACTCTTATATTAAATATAAATATATTATAAAACATAAGTGTAATGAGCGTTATTAGTCTTTTATTATTGATTTGAAAACTAAAGTAATATTATTATATACTAAGATATATTTATGTGGACTATACGAAACATAAGTTAAAAATGGTCAGACTCAGATCTTTTGTTCAAGTGAAATTGGGTATCGTTAGAGATATGTAAAATGTCATGTCAGAACTTTAGTCGGTCCAGGAATTTAACGCAATGAATAATCTGCCTAAAAGTTAGGAATCCAATGTCCGCTAGTTTGCACATCTGATGGTAAAATTTGGAATTGGAGAAATTATATTTATTAAAATTGTATATAATATTATATTTTTTATATTTGATTTAGATTTTTTTTAATACAATAGAAAAGTATATTAGAAATAATACATATATATATATATATATATACACACGTGGATTATCCACGGTGGAAATGTACGTTCATAATTACGTATCTTTAATTAGTGGGTCCGCGTGTAATTAAGATACGGAGAAATCTCGAGACCGACAACGTCTGTGTTTAGTCTCATTTATTTTGGTTATGGGAGAGGAAATCGAATGCCAATAAATTACATTTAAATTCAATTCGCTGAATGTCCAATCCAATTAGAAGTTTCGAATAAAGGCGTTGAACTTGTAAATCGGTGGTCACTAGGATACAAATTGACGTGGGCTCCTCCTATACGGACTTCTCATTTGATCATATAATATAATTATGCACCATTACGGAATTCACGAAATCGTTACTATATGTGTGTGTGCATGCAATGCATCTGCCGAAACTTACATGCACGCGCAAATATACGTACGTTTATGTACGTTACCGATTACTTGTACATATTGTAAACTCCATCAAGTTTTATTATAATTATTATATTTAAATTGGAATTTTTTTTTATATATATTAACTATATTATTTGTTCATACCGTCGGTTATTAATGGGCATTAGAAAGTTCATCGTGAAATTAATTTCCATAAGATATTTTATCTCTGAGTGTTTGGTTGTCCTATATAATCTTATAAGTTCAAGTTTCTAGTGGAACGCCGCATGCTTCTCGTAAAGTTTCTACAACAATGATTAGTTATATATATATATATCTTGATATTATTTGAATATTTATTGTTATCCCAAATAAAGTTTTCGAAAACTAATTCATGAAATATAGATGGTTTATGAAAACACAATCATGATGCACAGAAATGACATAATAATCAACGATACAAATTACAATATTAGACGTCGAATTTATCAAATTGTTTGGAGTAAAAAAAAATTACAATGAGAAGAGTATCAGAGAATTAGTTTTTTTTTATATTGTGGTAAAAAAATAAACATAAAATTAATCTAACATTCTTCAACATGATATCAAAATATATCCAAAAAATTTCTATTTATATTTTCTATTAATTTCATCTGGGGTTTTCAATAATCATTATATCTTAGATTAGTTAATTGTATCAATATCTGAAATAAAAAAAAATGGGTCTCGTATTATATTTTGCAAATGCAAGGCAAAATTATATGAATACGAATCTAAATCACTTTATATATATATATATATATATATATATATATATGTTTTTATTTATTTATGATTTTTATGTAATACCTGAAATTAGGGTAACTTATTAGATCACCTAGTGATGAGGATCATGTGTGTACCACTGGCATCTCTTCTCGTTAAATAACAGCCACAAAATGCATTGCTTTTCTCCATATGAATTTTTATATGAGTGTTTGCGTTTTTTTTATTTTTATTTATTATCTTTCACACCCATTAATTTCACTTGTCATTATATCAAAAATACATTCCATTTGCTATTTTGACTTCAAGACGTACATTTCTTCAACTGTGATCCTGTGACCCGAAATATAATCTTGGTCATAACGTTAAATTTATTATGATCATACCCATTCATTATATTCATACTTTATATATCTCACTAATCATTTGATAAAAATATTAAAAATTTAATGTTATGACCAATGTGACCAAGATTATATTTCGGATCATATGAGTCACAGGGTCACAGCTGGAAAAAGGTGTGTCTTGAAGTCAAAATAGCATATGGGGGGTATTTTTGATATAAGTATTATCAAAAATATCATCCATTTGCTATTTTGACTTCATTGTTCTTCAAATGGAGGGTATTTTTTATAATGGTCCATTTCACTTTCTCCTTAGTCAAGTGATATTTTACTGATTTAATAGTTGAAAATTAATCTTGCCTTTAATTGATAATATATCCTATTTGCATGCCCAAAGCATGATTCCATGAAAACATTAATTGGTTACTATAACAAAATATCTTAATTCCTTACCATAAGTAACTATTTCAATTACCAACGTGAGCTAATCTTTTTCAGTTTCGTAGAAAAATCATCGCCATATGAACGATGATATATCATATAGCGTACAACTGATTTAAATTTCCCCCCTTTTTTTGTAACAAAAGGTTATGGAGAAACGCCAACTATATATAAATATTTAAATATAGGATGCATTATAGTTTTTTTTAGATAATGTGACAATAACTTAACAATGACTGTCCATTTTTAGCGGAATCGATCATTTTCATAAGCAAGTAAAAAGTAAAATGCACTAAAACAATTTGGCATTCCCACATCTATGGCGACAATTTTGGTTTGGTAATGTAAAATCAGATCGAAACAAATAATATTTATATGTATTCAAATTGAATCTGTTCTAAAAACAAATTAATCGAATCTCTGCCAATATAAAACTAATAGAAAAACTAGACATAAACAATTATTTTTTAGAAAATTAATACTTACATATATAATTAGAATCTTAATAGATGTAATTTTTTAAAATAAAATTCGAATCTAGAAATGGGAAATACAGAATAG